ACACACAAAATTAAAAATATAAAAAAAATTTTAAAAAAACACTTATATAAAATCTAAATAATTTAATTTAGTATATATATATATTATTTTTGTGTGGGTGGCACTTCTCAGCACAAATGCAGATAGCTTTTGACCCTGAAGAGCTTACAGGCCGTGTCTCTGATCCTGCAAACAATTATGCAGGTGAGGAACTGTAGCAGGATGTATACTGGATCTCCAAACGTTCAAAACTCATGTGATTCTCTCTAAAAATCATGAGATTTTTAAAAAGTAATAAAATTTGAGGGGGGTTTTCATTTGCCTTCCCGGCTGGGGACATTCAGGGTCAAACCTGTCTCTGAAACCAGTAGGGCTGGAAATTTAATTATTAAAAAAACCCAACAACAAAAAACAGGGACTCTCACTTAACACGACACGAGTATAAAACTGAAAATTTGCACAAGTGTTTACTGGACCAGGGTCTAAGAGACCACCAGCACAAGAGGGGATAACAAGGGGATGGAATAGGGAAGGGGCAGGACAATGGAGAGGATTATGTGGTTACTTGGGAAGCTAGTGAATGTGTCCTGGTGGTTACTAGTTTCTTTCTTGGTTAATATAAAATGCTCCAGTGGAATTCGAGAGATAGTATATGGGGATTTGAAGAAGGGACACTGAGGAGGAGGAGGAGTGGGGTTGAGGGGAGTTCCAGGCTGATGTGGCAGCCTGTATAAAGGAGCAGAAGTGGGTGTGGAGGTACCTATGGAGGCGGGTGATCCGCCTGGACACACACCTCCTTCTAACTGGCTCTGGCTCTCAGAGGACATAAACCAACCGCAACCTTGGGAGCAGACACTCAGACCCAGGCACCCAAACTCTCTTGGCTGAGGGCAGCAAACTTGCCTGTCCCTCTCTCCAGCCATGAGCTAAGGGACACAGCCTCCTGCCCATCTCCTGTGCGTGGCAGAGTTTGAGATAACCATGCTGTGGCTGGTCAGGTAGGTGCCCCATGCTGAAGAGCTAGCTAGAAACCCTGTCTCTTGATAAGCCCTTCCACAGAGAGACTGGAAGTCACCACCGGTTGGGCTGTGGGAGAGTCAAACCCAGAGTGATACGATAGCAGGCAGGGCTGCTCCCAGCCACTCCAGAGATTCTCGTCTCCCTCTGGTCATCAGCCTGACCTCTGCAGCTAGGGGGGTTCAAAGTCTCCAAGCTCCTGGACGTTTTAAGTTCTGCAGACATACAAACCCAGTTCTTTTTCTGTTCAACTTCTCAGCAACGTCAGCTCCAAACATCCCAAAGGAGCATCTGCTCAAGGTTTCTACAAACAGGAGCGAAAACCAGACTGATCCCAGTGAAGTACATACATGGACACACACGTTTTCCTCCACCACATTCATTCCTCTCACAAGTGTCATCTGTCTGATGCTGAACTTTGGTCCCAACCATCCTGGAAGGAATGCTGTGACGTAGATGACACTTGGTAAACGAATTCCCATGCGGGAGGAAAACATATGGGAGATGCTGCTAAGAAATCCATTCTCAGCTCCCCAGGACTGAGCCTGTGACACATGGACTGAGGTGAGATGCTTTGCACAGTTCCCTCCAATTCAAATTCCCCTGCTCCTCTCTGCTGTTACAAATATTTTGTTTTACTCTGTACGGTTAATGGATCAGCACTGGACAGCTTCAAGGTAGCCAGATGATCTCACAGGCTCAGTTCAGCTGGTTGCTAATTCTCTGGATCCAGGGTAAGGAGCAGACAAGATGATATTGACCAAAAAAAACAGATCTACAAATGTCACCGTGTATATTTTATGCTTTATATCCAGCCAGTGGCATCACTTGGGTATTTACATGCAACTTAGAAACTATTCCCTTCTTATGTTAAATTAAGAAAACAACATAAACAATCTAACAATGTGAAAAAGCATGGAGATGTGTCTAATTAGACACAATTAAAACAAAACTCTTATTTTTATTTTCCGATGTATGTAGTTACTGATTTTTGCATAGTTCAGTCAGAGTCCAGCCAGGATATTGCAATAACTCGTTCTCCAGAATCCTTATTAGTGTCTCCAGGAGAAAGTCATGATCAGCTGCCCAAACCAGTTCAAGCTCTAGCAATTACTTAGCTCGGTGCTGACAGAAATCAGGGCAAGCTCCTAACTTTCTTATTTATTCTGGCTCTGCCCTCCTCTCTGGGGTCCCAGGCCAGTGCAGGGCCCAGTTCAGGAGCAGCTACACTGATTACACCCACACTGTTAGTGCAGCTGAAGCAGATAATGCTGGAGATTATTATTGTCAACAAACTGTCAGCTTCCCTCTCACGTGTACAGCCCTGAAACAAAACCTCCCTGTGCTCTGCAGTGCCTGTTTGAATAGTGGAACGGTTGTTCCGCGCAGACAAACTCAGTGTCAATGTGACTGCCGCCTTCCTGCCAACTGCTCACACCATGCTAAGAACCTGCTCTGTGTCTGGAACAAGATGTAGAGGGTTAGAAACCCCCTGCACCAGCTGCTGTGAATGCACAGGGAGGCTGCAACCAAGAAGGTAGCACATCTGCTGTAGGGAACGCTCCAGCACAGAAGATAGAGTGGATGGACTAACAGGGGTTTTCCATTTGGAACGGCTATTCTTTGCATTCGGCCTTAACTGGTCAGCATGAATGCTATGGAGTAATGTGAATGATACAATGCCTCTCCTTATACGTATGGATGGTGTTATTATGGCCACCATATACAGAGAGATAACAAAGGGTTTTCCAGCACAAGAGTATTAAAGGAAAACGTCTGGTGGGAGATGAATCCTCCATTGATTCAAAGGGGAGAATGACATAAGAAGGAAAGCATCTCTTCTAAAGCACCCATTTGTATGAAACACCTGAGACCAACACCTCCAAACCTGGGTGCCTGAAGTTAGGCTCCTAAACCTAGAGGGAGGCTTGGTTTCTACAGCTGCTGAGCCCCCACCCACTGCACTGAAATCAGTGGGAGCTGAAGATGCTTTGCTCCTCTGAAAATCAGACCATTTTTACTTAGGTGCCAAATATTGTTTTAGGAACCTGACTTCTGGCACCTGGGTTTGATCATTCTGGCCCAAAGGAATATATGTAAAGTGATAGCTTCCAACGAGAGGCCACATTCAGTATAGTCCTAACCATAGCTCATGTGGTTTTACACGTTCAAGCCTTTGTTAGTGTTGACCAGGAGGTCTTGTTGGCTGTTCTTTTTTTACTCTGCATCCATCCCTTGCTTTTATTTTCACCTCTACTTTATGAGTCTAACAGGTGTAAAGCCTGTAGAAATCTCAGGCCACGATGTTTCTTGGGTTTAACAACCTCCTATAGACAATCCAGGAGTTCTTTTTCGTCTGTTCCTCTGATGTTCTCTCATCTCCGCTTTGGGAGAGAGACGGAAACTTTATCCATCATCTTTACCTGTCCTCCAATCCAGTTTTCCAACCACACCTCGGACTGAGCAGGGATTCTGCCTGCCTGAGGAAAGAGCTACAATTTAGTGCTAACAATCATCACCCACCTACCATCCAACCATACAAAGAAGCATTTCATTCTGTTTCCTTTTAGCTTCTCCTCTCTCATCCATGTGTCTTTGTATTTGGGAAACTGTCATGTCAAACCTCATTACTTTGTCACTACTCAGAAGAGTTTGGCTGCAACCTACTGTAGTTAATATTTTTATAGGAACAATGTGAGTTTTCCAATCAGCTCTATTTAATACTGATTGTGGGGTGAAAAATGTAACATCACATTCCTCTAAAAACCACAACACGTCCCCTCTTCTTATCACTATTACAGGACTCAGTACTGGGCAGTTGCTCATCTGGCCTGGTGGGCTTTCCTATGCAAGGTCCTATAGGGTGCAGTTATGGTGTGTCACAGGATATCCAAAACCATAGGCAGAGTTAGAAGGCAGTGCAGGCTGAGGTGCCTTCTTTGACATTTATATTATCATTTAGCATCTGTCTTACAGTCAATACCTAGAGGCCCCGCTCAGGATCAGGATCCCAGCCTCTAGGCACTGTACAGACACACACACCGTGCATCGCTGCAAGGCGCTAAAGATGGAAGCCTCAGGGGTCCCTTGGCAGAATGGCAGAGGGGAGGACAACAACCAACCAGACTAGATGCTGTAAGAAGAATGCATGAGGTAGGAGGAGAACCAGGACAGGGCAACATCACAAAAACCAAGGGAGTAGAAGACTTCTGCAATGAGAATGTGATTGACAACATCTGACGCAGCCTAGAAGTCAAGGAGGATAGGGATGGAGAGTGGTCCAGGAAAGGGTGAGAGCAGTTTGGTGGAGTGGAAAGGGCAGAAATCAGAACAGATGGGAGGGGGTGAGAAGCAGAATTGGAGGCAACAGCTGTAAATGGCCCATTCAATGAGCTTAGGGAGGAAGAGGATGGGCAGCATTGCAACCATCCACAGCAAACAAGTTTCATCTCTTCAAGCTTAAGTGCCTATTTCTATTCAGTGACAGATATTAGAAAGGAATCTGGCAATAAGGTAAAATCTAGTATAACTATATAATAAGAATAATAATTAACGAGCCCTTAAGCAGCACTATAGGTTTTCAAAGCCCTGCAAAACAGTCAAGAACTCACTAACCAGCATCCTGACCACCCATCTGGAAAACTTCTCTCTGAATAAGCACACACTGTAAATAAGCCCCAGGAATTAGAAGTTACTCGTGATGCAGACCCTGGATACCACTGAGCTCATGAACTAACAGCCCAGTCCTGGAATCTTTGATCAGGAAAAGCTCCAGAACAACCTGGGCCCTTGATTATAGTGACCATCCCCTGCCAGACCCACCTGGGCATCCCGCACTGCCAGGAATGAGAGATGAGTTACCAGACTGAGGGGTGTACGTGGCCCTGGGTCTGCAGAGGGAATGGACATTTACACAGAGATGCTGCTTTGCATATTTCCACCTGAGTGACAGTACGCAGCTGTTCAGAGCAGATATAAACATGTCACATGAGCACTTTGTGCTTCTGAGCTTTGTATCTGTCACTCTAGACATATCAGGATGATCTCCCAGACTCAGCTACTTTGGCTCCTCGTGCTCTGCATTCAAGGTAAGAACAACAAGAGAAGATTAGTTTAAAGGAAAGTCAAACATTTATTAGGATTTAAATAGAAAGAATTTCCCTTTCCAGCTATCACTCCTAGCAGCAATTACAGTGTTAACAGAATGAGAGCTCCAGGCTAGACTCCTAGAGATGCAACTTTGTAGTGTGCCAAATATTCTGATGTTGGAGGATTTTTACATTTCTTTTTATTCCAAATTTATTCTCCAAACCAGATTCCAGTGGACAGACTGTGATGACTCAGACTCCAGAATTCCTGGCAGTGTCTCCAGGAGACAGAGTCACCATCAACTGCAAAGCCAGTTCCAGTGTTAGCAACTGGATGGCCTGGTACCAACAGAAATCAGGTCAAGCTCCTAAGCTCCTTATCTACAGCACTTCCACCCGCCCCTCTGGGGTCCCAGACCGCTTCAGTGGCAGTGGGTCTGGCACTGATTTCACATTCACAATCAGCAGGGTTGAAGCAGATGATGCTGGAGATTATTACTGCCAAAAGTACAACAGTGCCCCTCTCGCACAGTGATACAAACCAGCACAAATACCTCCCTGCTGTTTAGTTTCAGACTCTCACTCAGTATTTCAGCTGCTTCCTGTGCAGCTTAATTGTGTGATTGCCTCTGCTGCCCTGCAGTGGGGTGGCTGGGTGTGTCAGACTTCGATCACCTCCTTCCACACTGAAGAACTTCCAGTCCTTTCAGGTGCTCACACCAGGGGTTCACTGCAGTGCTTTAGACAAACAGGACACACAAAACGCTTTCCTCCAATACGCTGATGTCATTTCCAAGCGTTATCTACATAAGGCTGCACCCTGGTCAGAACCATCATGGCATGAATGATCTGAGGTAGATGACACTTGCTGAACGAATCCACATACTATGAGAAAACATTTGAGAAATGATGCTAAGAAATTAATTCTCAAATCCCTATGTCTCAGCCTTTGACCCAGGGGCTGAGACAAGATGCTTTGTATCTCTCCTTCTGATTCCAATTCCCCTCATGCTCTTGGCAGTTATAAATATTACATTTTACACTTAGAGAGACAAGGTTGGTAAGATAAAACCTGTTATTGGACAAACTTCTATTTGGGAGAGAGACAAGCTTTCAAGATTACACTGAGCTCTTCCTCAGGTCTGGGAAAGGTAAACATCAAAGAAACGCAAACCTGATGACAGCCATTCAACACAAAAACAAGTGGAACCAACTACAACTAGTCCACAACCCACAGAACACCACGTCTGGGAGAAACCATGGCACCAGTACCCACCAAATGAACACTGCACGACACCCAATTATCATCAATTTATCAAGACTACCCCACACTGGAGCTGAATCATCCATACTCTCTAAGAGACTAAACACATGCCCCACCACAGATACCTTTCTCAGACCTAAGGAAGAACTCGGTGTAGCTCGAAACCTTGTCTTTCTCACCAACAGTCGTTGGTCCAATAAGAGATATTACCTCACCCATCTTGTCTCTCCAATATCCTGCGACCCACCCAGCGACAATGACACTGCATACATTTTACGTTTACCAGTTAATTGATCAGCACTGGACAGCTCCAACAGAGCAAAAGGATCTCACAGCCTCAGCTCCTCTGGTTGTTAGTGCTCAGGATCAAGGTAAAGGGGCAGAACAAGAGGATATTGGCTTGAACAAAGCAGATCTAGAAATGCTGCAGTATATTTTTTATGCTTCATCTCCATCCAGTGTCATCACTTTGGTATTACATATACACCTAGCTTAGACATTACTTTAATTTTATGTTAAATTAATAAAACTATGTAAATACAACGTAAAAGCCTGGTGAGGAATGTAAGGAGACAGATGATAAAACAATACATCTTATTTTTATTTTCATATAGATCTAGCTCCTTATCTTATTTTTCATCAAAACTCCAGTTAGGACTTTGTGATGACCAAAGCTCCGGAAGAAAGAGTCACAATCAATTGCAAAGCCAGTGCAAGTGTGAGCACTTATATAGTCTGGTACCTGCAGAAATCAGGACAGGCTCCCCTTCTTATTATTCTGGCTCTACCCTGCCCTTTGGGGTCCCAGCCTGGTTCAGGGGCAGTCAGTCAGGAAACGGTTACACCGATTTACAGTCTCATTATCAGTGTGGTTGAAGCAGATGACGGAGATCATCATCAAGAAAGTGTCAGCTTCCCTCTCACAGCCCGTAGGAAAACCTCCCTGGTCTCTTCAGTTCCTGTGATTCTAGAGGAATAGCTGCTTCCTGCAGAGACGTCCAGCGTCAGTATGGCTGTTTCAGTCCAGCTCACTGCTCTCTGTCTAGAATGATATGCAGAGAGCTTGACTCTGCTACAGCACAGCAAGAGACCCCTCTGCTGGCTGCTGGGCATGGCAAGGGTGGCTGCAAGCAAAAGCACAGTCCATGTGTGGTAGGAAACACTCCAGAATGGAGGATGGAGTGGACAGACTAATGAGGGTTTTCCATTTGGTTCTGCTATTGTTCTTTGCATTCAACCTTAACTGGTCAGCAGGAGTTCTATGGGGGGTAATGCCAACAATACGACGCTTCAGCGTAGATAGGTAGATGGTGTCGCTATTAACAGCATGTACAGAAATAAAATAAATGCACCTATTAAAGGAATCACTCAAATGGAAGATTAATTCTCCATTGCACTAGAGGGGAAAATTTCATAGGAACCTAAGTCATAAGAGGAAGACATGTTTTCTAGCTTACCCATTCCTATTGAACACATTTAACCAACATTTGCATACCTGGGCTGCCTAAAGTTAGCCTACTACATCTATTTGGAAGCACCTAAAAAAGTGGCTTGATTTTCAGAGATGCTGAAATTGTACTAAAATCAATGGGGGATGAAGGTGCCCGACCCATCTGAAAAACAGGCCCTTTTTATTAAGGTGCCTAAATATGGATTTAGAATCCGGGTTTCAACATTTTCTCCCAAAGCAACACGTGTTAAAATAGTAGACCCCAAGTGGAAGACGTGCTCAGTATAATCCTAACCATAGCTCACGTGATACCCTTTTACATTCAAGCCTTTGCTAATGTTGACCAGGAGGTCTTGTTGGCACATTGGTAGACACAGGTAGAGACAGTGGGAGCTGTTCCTGAGTGGCTGAAATGACAATAGAAGCAAAAGACTTGGCCTTGTGTGGAAAAGAGACAGTTGAAGCTGAGGCCTTGTGAACTATTGAACTGTGAGCTGGAATTCTAAGAGGCCCTGTCACTCTTAATCGATCTAACAACAAGAAAAACATGATGTATGCAGGAGAAGCCTCCTTGGAGAACCGGGACATTCAAACATGTCCTGAGACTGTGTTCAGTGCTACTTTGTTTAGGAGGTTAATTTGTTTGGGTTAAAAAGAAAATGGAAAATCTGGAAAGGAAAGTCAAGGTAGCTTTCCATGAAACAAAAAAGTGTATGATCCACAGTAACCCAAAAGAGTCAGGGTAGGGCTCTCTTTTGCTTTGTTTCCCACCCCCACCTTTTATCCTTTTCTTTATGGTCCACTCACATTATGGCTCTAATGGGTGGAAAGCCTATTCAAGCTCAGGCCATGGTGTTTCCTGGGTTTAACAATCTCACTTGAATGCTCCTGGAATTCTTTTTTGCCTGCTCCTCTGATGTTGGCTCCTCTACACTTTGCGAGAAGGAAGGAAACTTCATCCATCATCTCGACCTCTCCTCCAGTCCAGCCTTCCATCTTGACCTCTGATGCTTGCCTGAGGAAAGAGCTACAATTTGGGCCTTCAATCTTTACTTATTTTACCCTATTTTATCTGTGTCTCTCTGTGTTTGGTTGTGGAAATGGTCTTGTCATTCATTCAACAAACTACTTCGTTACGACATGCAAAATAGTTTGACTGCCACCTTCTGTAGTTAATATTTAATAAAGGCTGATGGATGCTATAGAAAACTCTGTGATTGATACACAGATGGACTGAAGAAGGGAGTTTAGCGAGAAAAGCAGCTTTTATAGTTTGCAATTTTTCCTACATATTTAAGTTAAGAACAGAGGATGTTTACATCAAGTGTGTGGGGTGGAAGCCATTAAAATCTTAGACCAGGAAAGAGAACTTTGAGTTTAATTATATGGTTGGTTGTATTTTTTCCCATGAAAATATCTTGGTGGAAAATGTAATGTTGAAGAAAACCTATTTTTCAAATTTTGATAGAGTTTTCCAACTACAAAAAGTTGGAAAACTGAAAGACAGTGTGTATAAGTGTGGGGAAACTACTTTCAGACACTTTATAACTTTTTCCAACCATTCCCAGTTCAAAAATAGTAACAGAGTGCGATAAGGGATTTTAACCACTTACACAGTTTTTTCATCTTTTCCTCCTCCGTCTGTCCAGTGGGGAAAAAAGGTAAGAATTAAAAGAGAAAGAAAGCAGGTGGATGGAGGGAGTGGGGGGAGGAAAGGGGGAACAAAAGACAATTCAGAAACCAAGAATGAAAAAAAATCAAAGAATTACAATTTCCAAAATCCAAAACAAAATCACATTTTAATTAAAAAATAAAGGAATGTTTTCATTTAATTTCAACTAAATCTGATCAAAACATTTCAAAAAGGCATTTTTCCTGTGAATTATTTGAATTATGTGAATTTTTCCTGTGAATTATGTGAGTTTTCCAATGAGCTCTATTTAGTACTATCGGTGGGATGCAAAAGGTAACAATTACTTCATAAGCCATGACATGGGCCCCTTCGACGTGTGTGCGTGTGTGTGAGAGAGAGAGAGTGTATGTGTGTGATCAACAATGTCAGATGTAACCAAGAAGTCAAGAAGAATGGGCGTGGAGCCTGGGCCAGGAAGTTTTGGTGGAGTAGAAAAGGTGGAAAGCAGATCTGATGGGGGTGGAGGAGAGGAATTGGAGGAAACAGCTGTAAAAGGCCCATTCAATGAGCTTAGGAAGGAAGGGCATGGGCAGTACTGCAACCAACCAAGATTTAACTCTTCAAATTAATTCTCTATGTATATTCAGTGACAGATGTTACCATGGAATCTGGCAATAATATCATGAAAACAACAATATTGAGCCCTTAAACAGCTCTGTAATTTTTCAAAGCACTGTGAAGAGATGAACTAATTAACTTCCTAACAACCCATACAGGAAACTGCTCTTTGAATGAACACCGGGGTCTAAAGAAGCCATAGCCATTAGATGTGACTAGTGACAAAGACACTGGATACTGCTGAGCTTAGGAACTAACTGAGCACAATCCTGGACTCCTTCATCAGGAAAATCTACAGAACACTCTGGGCCCATTGATTAGAGAGACCATCCTCTCGCCGACCTATCCGGGCGTCCCTCACTGCAAGGAATAGGAGATGCGTTACCAGACTGAGGGGTGTACGTGGCCCTGGGTGTGCAGAGGGAATGGACATTTGCACAGAGACGCTGCTTTGCATATTTCCACCCGAGTGACAGTTCCCAGCTGCTCAGAGCAGATATAAATATGCCTCCTTCACACTTTGTGCTTCTGAGCTTGGTGTTTGCCACTCGAGACATATCAAGATGATCACACAGACTCTGCTACTCTGGCTCCTCGTCCTTTGCATTCAGGGTAACAACAACAACAGGGGAAATTAGTTTAAAATAAAGTTATAATATTTTACCAGGCTGCAAATAATCAGAATTTCCTTTTCAAGTAATCATTCCCAATGGCATTTACAATGTTATTGAAGGAGGGATACAAGATAGTCACTACAGCTTTGTAGTTTGTTAAAAATTACAAAGTTTGAGTCATTTTATATTTCTTTTAACTGTTTTTCTCCCATCCAGACTCCAGTGGGCAGATTGTGCTGACTCAGACTCCAGAATCCCTGGCAGTGTCTCCAGGAGACAGAGTCACCATCAACTGCAAAGCCAGTTCCAGTGTTAGCTACATGGCCTGGTACCAACAGAAATCAGGACAGGCTCCTAAGCTCCTTATATATGATGCTTCCAGCCGTCCCTCTGGGATCCCAGACCGGTTCAGTGGCAGTGGGTCTGGCACTGACTTCACTTTTACAATCAGCCGGGTGGAAGCGGATGATGCTGGAGATTATTACTGCCAGCAGTATAGCAGCTCCCCTCGCACACAGTGATACAGACCAGCACAAAAACCTCCCTGTTCTATGTAGTTTCAGACTCTCACTCACAGTATTTCAGCTGCTTCCTGTGCAGTTTCCTGGTGTTGGTGCTTCTACTGCCCTGCAGTGGGACTCCTGGGTGTGTCAGACTTACGTCCCCTCCCTCCTCACTCCAGAATTTCTAGTTCTTTCAGGTGCTCCCTCCCTCCCTGTGGTTCAGCACTCTTTACTCAGCAATTGCTCCCCGACCACTAACATGCATTTGCTCTTATGGGCTGCACCCAACTTCCGACTGACAGCAGGTTCCAATCCGAGCACCTTTGTACTGAGCCGAGAAAACGGACAGAGAACTGTTCTCCAGCTTTATAAAGCACCCACAGTGACCACTGCAGTAGACTAATCCAAACACGTCGGACTAAAAGCTCCTGTAGGATTCAGCTGCTTATCTAGCAAAGCACAGTCACTGATGCAGCTCCCCTTTCCCAGCACAAACCCCTCCGCAGGGTTGGGACTCGCTGATACTGGCTGTCCTGGCAAAAATGGAATCCAGAATTCCTCGCCAGCGCCCCCAGAGCAGGGTTACATCACACGGTGGTAAAAACAGCCGAGCCATTTGTACACTGCAGCTTCCAGCAGTGCCGCCATCGATGGATGAATTCTGGGTCCCTCCACCCAAGCCCACTAAGGATTAATCGCTGTCCTCTGAACTGTTAGGCTCTCCTGAACCTAGTGGTTTAGTTAAGTGACAGTGTGGCACATTTGACACAATTTATGGTAAAGTAGAAATTGGTACAGGAAGGGAAGACGAGCTCTTTGTCGATGACCAGAAACAACACTGGATTGCAAAATAGAGTCCATGAACACTGGGCCACCATGCTGCTCCCAGACAGCAGGCATCCTAGGGAAAGCAAGGAGGGGTGAAGAAGGGGATGGGGAAGAGGGAAAGAAAAACTAGGAGAAGAGGAGGGAAGGGCAGCTTTACATTTCACTTGGGTCTCCAGAGGCAGAGCAGCAGATATCCAAGCTCCACAGAAGGACATTTCAATCTGAGAGCATCCAGGTGGTTTCCTGTCATTTTGTTTACGCTTCCTTTCAGCCTATAAACATGAGGGGGCAGAGTCTGTGCTGTGGTTCCTGAGAGATGCGGCCCACGGGGAGGGGGAAAAGTTAAGATTCTGCCCACGCCTGGGCTACTTCAGCACCCAGTGTAAGTTAGAGCAGCCCCTGGGTCTGCTTTAATTTGCAGCTACCACCCCAGAGCCACAATAGCTCCCAGCTGCAATGCCAGTCTCTGCAGCCTTGAAACAGTTGTTTAAAAGAGACTGTTGACACTGTTCCGTCTTGTGTAAATAATTAAATATTCATTGGCCCAGAGAGAGAGACTGGTTAGGGCACAACCTGGAACAGGGGAGACCCAAGTTCAAGGTCCTGCTCCAATGCCTCTTTAATTAGTTACACGAAGTGGACAGCTCCAAGGAGAGAGTTAGGGACACCTCCCCCACAATACCCGATAGCTTGGTGCTCAGGGAGCTCACCTGAGCTTTCGTTTCCTATTGCCCAAGGCCCTACTTCAAATCAGGCAGAGAAGGGATTTCAAAAGAGGTCTCCCACATCCCAGGTGAGTGTCTTAACTACAGGGTTCTTGATATTACAGAGTGAGCCGTCACTCCGACTCTCTCCGGCTTTTCAGGAGAAAGTCTGACCTGGCTGAGGTGCCCAAATCCAGGAATGGGTGTTGACAGCTGTGAATTGCAAGCAGAGATGGGCACCTCCTGCCAGCACAGATTTAGGTGTCTAACTACCTTTGAGGGGCAGGGCTGAGGCCCACCCCTTTCCTCATCATTTCCTACAGGCTAGCTTAGGCCGCTCAATGGGCCGGATTCTGTGACCCATCCTTAGGCACCTAAATCTTGCCCCCAGGCCTGCTATAGGGAGCCAGGTGTCGAATGCAGGGCTGGGGATTCCACCGGACGGCACAGAGTCTGATTGTCACAGGTTCTGAGCACCCTCTGCATCTCTTCACTTGTATCTGAGAGGCAGGTGCTCAGTACATCTGATATGAGGCTGTAATTTAGCACTTTTATAGTGATTATTCCTCACAATGTCACCATCGTGGGGGTCTCCTCCGATGGGGAGGCCAGCCATTCGGGATCACTGCTGTGTCTGAGAAGGGCAAGAGGCCCTGAAGGAAGTGACATCTGAAGAGTGTCCATATGAAGAGGGGTAAAATGAAGGCTCATGCCTAGACACGGGCAGCATAGCCCAAGGGAATAACTGGGGGAGATATGTCAGATATGCTAAGATACATGGATGATCTGCAGAGACTTCGGTGTACGTTCACATGGCAATCTTGGAAACACAAAACATAATTGTAACAAGAGAGGAGCAGGAAATAAATCAAATAGGAACATTTCATAACTCTATTGAAACTGAAGGGCAGTAAATTTACAGGCAAGCGCCCCTTGTTATTCTGGCTCTATCCTGCCCTACACTGAGGGGAGTACGTGGCCCTGGGTCTGCAGAGGGAATGGACATTTATACAGAGATGCTGCTTTGCATATTTCCACCCGAGTGACAGTTCTCAGCTGTTCAGAGCAGATATAAACATGCCTCCTTCACACTTTGTGCTTCTGAGCTTGGTGTTCGTCACTCGAGACATATCAAAATGATCACACAGACTCAGCTACTCTGGCTCCTTGTCCTCTGCATTCAGGGTAACAACAACAACAGGGGAAATTAGCTTAAAATAAACTTATAATATTTTACTAGGCTGCAAATGCTCAGAATTTCCTTTTCAAGCAATCATTCCCAATGGCATTTACAATGTTATTGAAGGAGGGATGCAGCTTTGTAGATGCAGCTTTGTAGTTAGTTAAAAATTACAAAGTTTGAGTCATTTTATATTTCTTTTTCTTTTAACTGTTTTTCTCCCATCCAGACTCCAGCGGGCAGATTGTGCTGACTCAGACTCCAGAATCCCTGGCAGTGTCTCCAGGAGACAGAGTCACCAGCAACTGCAAAGCCAGCTCCAGTGTTAGCAGCAGCTACATGGCCTGGTACCAACAGAAATCAGGGCAGGCTCCTAAGCTCCTTATCTACAGTGCTTCCACCCGTCCCTCCGGAATCCCAGACCGGTTCAGTGGCAGTGGGTCTGGCACAGACTTCACTTTTACAATCAGCCGGGTGGAAGCGGATGATGCTGGAGATTATTACTGCCAGCAGGGTAGCAGCACCCCTCTGACACAGTGATACAGACCAGCACAAAAACCTCCCTGCTTTCTGCAGCATGCAACACAGTTCCTGTTTGTGGACGATAATACTCTCTGCCTTTCAAGTGTTCTGTCAAATGTGAAAGAAGAGGGTGACTTATTACATCTCGGAACATACAGTAAAAAAGAGAACTCCAAAAGACCCAATGAGTTTGCCCAATCACACAGACATTCAATGCACAGAGACCTGAGGTTATAGTTTTCACTGCTTTATCTTCACTCTTGAATCCCAGTGCATCAGACACACATCAAGACAAATTGCTCCAAACAGATACTATGCCTTGTAACTTTCTTAATTGAGTGGCTCCTTTTTATATCAAACAGAATTAATTCTAATACAGAGAACTAGTTGCAAACCAGAATCCCCCTTCCATGGGAAATTTAAAAGTTTCCTGCATAAGAAAAGTTCCAAAATTTATTCTGGAAAAATCAAAATGACTTTTTGTTTCACTAGGATTAAAACATTTCATTTCAACGTTAGCAACTCAACTTTTACAGCAGGCTTAGCTTAACCAAGGCAGGAGGGGGTGCCATAGAGAGGCAGCTTGACCCCGCATCCTTCCTGATAAGAATTGTGTTGAAGTTGCGGATACATGCATCTTAGAAGAGCAGGATGTGACCGAGGAATGTCTATTGGGGCCTCAAGGCTGCAAACTCAGGGAAAACCCATACCTGGTTGATAATCAGAAGGAACCTCTCGCTTGACCATTGAAACTGCTTACTTAACAAGTTTGTTTTAAGGGACATGTCATTCTATTACGAATGTATAAATAAGGGGGAAAGTTTGAGGTAGGGGGACTCTTCAGGACTGGACTCTCTCTCTGGATGCATCTTGTGTGATCTGTTGGGGTCTGCACCATAACACACAATTATCAGTATCCGTTACTTATAGTACATTTAAAATACACTTCAGAATATTGTCAATTATTTGCATTTTCCTTCTACTTCTAGCGATTTCAGGCTGGATGATTGGAGAATCAACAAGCCTGTTTGACTCTGATGTTACACCACTGAGCACATGTCTAAGAAGAGATCTCTTGGAAGGTTCAGCTTCAAAGAAGAGAGCTAAATCCCAGCCCCTGCATAATCTCTTGCACTGTCTTGGTGTCACTGCACTTGGACCAGACGGACCCTACTCATTTCCCATCCAGATCCCAAGAGGCTGCTCTTGAAGCACTTAGGGTTGGGACATTTTCATTTGCTTTCTTTCCTAAGAACATTAGTGTTGTCATACTCCTGTTCCCCTTTTGTTTGGTCTCTGTCAAAGCTGAATGGATCTGCCCCAAGGTTCTTTCTCTCTTCTGTTGGTGAAAGTCTGAGGTCAATAATGGGCCAATGTAGGTCAGTCACTGGGGATAGCTGTCCTGCCCACCCAGGGGCAATAACATTCTGGTTGTGAAATATCATTTTTAACTACCTGACAAAAAAGTTCTCACAATTACCAGCAAAAATTCCGACCCCTTACTGATTAGATGGGACTTTTGTTGTGTCATGCGCATAAATTTCCCTTTTAACAATTGGTGACGATTGCCTGCTAAAAAAATCAGAGAGCTAGATCCCAGCCCATGCATCAACTCATGTTCTGTAGGGATTTTATTATAATTATAAAACACTCAGCACAGCAGCAGACACACACTCCATTCATACCAAATGGAGAATAATAATATTCTGAGAAAAACAGAGCTCTCTCTGCCCAGTATGGCAGTTTCAGGAGTGAATATGCCATCTGACAGGACAACAGCTGGCAGATGAATAATGGCCTAAGACAGGACTTCTGCTAGAATAGGACAGTTTTGTGCCATATTGCGACAATATCTCTGGGTAACAGTGGGTAGGCAAGAGAACGGGAGGCACTTAGAAAGGATGCATTATTCAGTGAAGTGAGGTAAACTCTAAGTATCTGAACACAAAACAGGATACCCGACTATTGATGTTCACCAGCAATAAATGATGCAACAGGCAGACACAACTGTGGGAAAGAGAACTTTGAAAAAGACGCTGAGATATACGTGTCACGTGAGGAGGTGCTGGAGTTTGTCCCTTAGCAGCCTGGCCTCTGCTTGCTTTCCGAGCCCCCGGTCTTACCAAAAACAGTTCCTCCTCAAACCAGACCCGCTTTCTCCATTTCCGCTCATCATACTACACTTCAGAGCTTTGTTTAAACAGATGTTTGATATGATACGAGAGGAAGACACCACAAAGTGGAGGCACAAGCACCTGGCTCATAGAGCCCACTGTTGACCTGCTCTCTTACTGCCACACTCCAGCCAGCCCTGGTGCCATGGCCAGTCCTGCCACGTCAGGTGGCCACAGGAGATTGTACATGTGAAATCTGCAGAGAGGTCTGAGTAGATTAGCCCCTGAACCCTAGAAATACACAACCTCCTTCGAGCATCTAACAGCAGCAGGAAATTTCACAAAACTAATGTGCAGTACATTTACATGCATTTTGCATACGGGTGAGGTTTCCTCACTGAGCGCACATAAATGTTTCAGTTTCCACCCCAAGTTAATGAACAAGCTTTTCCAACCACAGTCTAGCAAGATGATCTCTCACACTCCCCTTCTCTGGCTCCTGGTTCTCTGGATTCAGGGTAAGAAATTTAAAAAATAAAGCATTTGAAAACCTAATAATCCGTAAAAACGACAAAGAGTCCTGTGGCACCTTAAAGCTTATGTTCCAATGCATCTGTTAGTCTGTAAGGTACCACAGGTTTCTTTGCCGCTTGTACAGATCGAGACTAACACGGCTACCCCTCTGATACTAATAATCCATGTGACTGAACATAAAAAATGGATTGATTTGATGTGAATTATTTGAATATTTGATGTGTTGTATTTTAGTTTAAATTGCCACTGGCAAATTCAAACTGTGTTTCAGTGTTTGAATACTCATCATATCCAGCATTGTATCACTGTTCATTCCCTACCCATCTTCTCTCTTTCTCTAGACTCCTCCGGGCAAATTGTGATGACTCAGTCCCCGGAATCTCTGGCAGTGCCGGTGGGAGGGAGAGTCTCCATCAACTGCAAAGCCAGTACGAGCATTAGCAATTACTTACACTGGTACCAACAGAAACCTGGACAAGCGCCCAAACTTCTTATCAGCTACGCTAGCACCCTCCAGTCGGGGGTCCCAGCCCGGTTCAGCGGCAGTGGGTCTGGCACGGATTTCACATTCACAATCAGCAGCGTAGAAGCTGAAGATGCTGGAGATTATTACTGCCAGCAGAGTAGCAGCTGGCCTCTCACAGTGATACAGACCAATACAAAAACCTCCCTGCTCTCTGCAGCATGCAATGCAGTTACCATTTGCTGCAGATATAACTCTGAGGTTTTCAAATGTTCTGTCAAACGTGAAGGAAGAGGGTAACTTATTCTATGTCTAAACACACAGTAAAAAGGAGAACACCAAAAGACGCAATGAGTTTATATAATCACATAGACACTTGTATGTACAGAGACCTGAGAACCACGAGAGAGTCCACAAGATGCCAATGGGATGCCAATGGCATGGTCTAGTGCTTAATGTAAATAATGAAGAGTCATGAGACATAGGATCTAAGCCCAGCCCAGTCTCTAACTCACTCACTTTCTTGGTCAAGACATTTAATTTCTCCATGTCTTGGTTTACCGTCTCTAAGAAGATATGATAATTTTCCTCCTTTCAGGGTGCTCGGACACTTAATGTATTAATGTTTTTAAAGCACCTTGAAATTATAGGGTAGAGTGCAAGAGATTATTAAAAGAAATGCAACATTTTTATAAATGTAGAAAATCAAAGGAACACAAGAAGAGAGAAGCAATGGTAAAGTCCTCTTGTTAGCATCCTGGACGACTTATTTGTCTACTTCTTTAGCAACCACCTGGACTTAGTTCCATGCTGCTTTTTATGCATGAAACCTCCTACCTGAGCCACTCCACCAGGCCACCCCTTCCCCCCGCTCTTTTTCTCCCAAAGACCCACTTTTACTGTGATGAACACAAGCCATTAATGACTAACAATGGCACGAATGAGGGGTAATGGCAGATAGTGCATAGACCTTACAAATAACGTCATCAAAAGATTGTATTAGCAAGACAAGGCCAGTCATCACTTTTTGGGGGTCGACCCTTTTCTCTTTCTTCTCTTGCTTGTCTGCTTTGTCTTTTAGATTGTAAACCCTTATGGGCAGGCCTGCATTATGCTTGTAGAGTCCCAAGCAGAAAGGGGCATTACCAGAAACGTTATTAATAAATTAAAATAACATCTTCCTTCAGTCCATTAATGGAGACGTTCTATACAGTTTACTGCACTTGACCTAAACTAGATCCATCACTACCACTATTCAAAATTGTATTGGGCAGAGCACTGGAGACATGCAAAAGCACAGAGGAAGCTAAAATTCCTACTGGAATTTTCCACCTTTCGCTCCTATGATTCTTAAATTTGTTAGTCTCTAAGGTGCCACAAGTACTCCATTTCTTCCTATGATTCTGCTATCTTGTGGCTGCTGCGGGGAACTAAATGTTTTGGCTTGTAACAGTGTCTTTAAAAACATGTACACATTAACCGATGAACATAGTTGCTTCTAGAAAGGAGCCCCCTGATTAGAAACATCCCAAGCTACATCTAAAAGGATTTCCATGTCCTCTCTCAGGATGGTGTTGTAATTTTTCTGGGCTGTGGATGGCTAAGTTTCTCTTAAAACAACAGCCCCCGGGAGGTGATGATCTAAGAAAAGGATCATTTCCAAACTCTAGCCTGACAGCAGCCATTTACATAGCTTGGCCTCTTTCCATTTTCAGACCGAGCGCCATTTCCTCACTGCTCTGAGCAGGGATTATAACTCAACAGGTTGGCACTTTAGATTTCACTGAGCTTCTTGTCACCCAGAAGAGTCAAGATGATTTCACCCACACGGCTTTTCCTGATGAGGATGTTTTTTCCAGATCCAGGGTAAGAAAGAATAAAAGTATGAAGTCGGAAGAAGCTTGGTAGTTTACCTGGCGTGGGACACAATTCGGAGTATGTTTACTTGTGAAATGTACATTTAAACTATATTGGGACGACCACAGAGTTTCTTTCTGTTTCTACGCACCAGTGGAGAGACTGTTACAACTCAGTCCCTATCAGTCAGGGTAGGAGAAAGCATTACTCTCCGTTGCAAAGCCAGTTCGGGGATTACTGATGAAATAGCCTGGTACCACCAGAAATCTGGAAAAGCTTCTGAACCTATTATCTATGAAGCTTCTTCTAGCCTTATGGGGGTCCGAGCCCGATTCAGTGGCAGTGGATCTGGCACTGCTTTTACATTCACCATTGGCAGGGTTGAAGTTGATGATGCTGGAGATTATTACGGCCAGCAGTATAACAGCTGGCCTCTGACAGTGATACAGACTAGTACAAACACCTCCCCATGCTGCGCAGGGTGGCTTCTGCTGGCCAACTGTTCTACACTCATTCTGCATAGGCCTCTGCCAAGGTTCCTTCCCCACTCTGAACTCTAGGGTAAAGATGTGGGGACCTGCATGAAAAACCCCCTAAGCTTATTCTTACCAGCTTAGGATACAACTTCCCCAAGGTACAAACTATTTTACCTTTTGCCCTTGGACTTTATTGCTGTCACCACCAAGCGTCTAACAAATATATAACAGGGAAAGAACCCGCTTGGAAACATCTTTCCCCCAAAAAATCCTCCCAAACCCTACACCCCCTTTCCTGGGAAAGGCTTGATAAAAATCCTCACCAATTTGCATAGGTGAACACAGACCCAAACCCTTGGATCTTAAGAACAATGAAAAAGCAATCAGGTTCTTAAAAGAAGAATTTTAATTGAAGAAAAAGTAAAAGAATCACCTCTGTAAAATCAGGATGGTAAATACCTTACAGGGTAATCAGATTCAAAACATAGAGAATCCCTCTAGGCTAAACCTTAAGTTACAAAAAGACACAAAAACAGGACTATACATTTCATTCAGCACAACTTATTTAACAGCCATTTAAACAAAACAGAATCTAACGCATATCTAACTAGATTGCTTATTAACCCTTTACAGGAGTTCTGACCTGCATTCCTGCTCTGGTCCCAGCAAAGGCAACACACAGACAGAGAGAAGCTTTGTTTCTCCCCCCCTCCAGCTTTGAAAGTATCTTGTCTCCTCACTGGTCATTTTGGTCAGGTGCCAGCGAGGTTATCCTAGCTTCTTAACCCTTTACAGGTGAAAGGGTTTTTTCCTCTGGCCAGGAGGGATTTAAAGTTGTTTACCCTTCCCTTGATATTTATGACAGCCTCTATACCTGGAAATCACCTCTAGCTCAGACATCCTTCATTCAGTTCTCTATGTGCAAGCAGTGAAGCAACTTTTGTCATCCCTTTATTTGTGCAGCCCATTTCTGCTGGTTTTGTATATTCCCCCATATCTATGATGTTCCCATTAAAATGTCAGTATTGATCAGTTTGATTGTACTTTAGATTTCAGACATAAATCTTTTTAAAATGGTGACCTTAAGACTCCACTTTGCTTAATAATCAGCCTGAACCAGAGCCAGATTATATTGGAAATTATTAGGATCATTATAATTCTACCCTATTTTGCCGAATGGAATTGTCTCAGCCAATCAGGGCTCACAAACGTCGTACAGTTATTGACACACCCCTGTCCAGTAGGACTCCCACCATCCCACCCTATCAGCTCTGCTGTAGTTGAAGTAAGGGGACAAGACTGAGCCAGGCTGAGTGTGAAGTGTTCTTCGGAGAGGCTGCCCTGTGACTCTTTTAAACACTGGTTCCTCTTTCCCCTCAGAGGGGCTGCAGCTGTGACTGGGGCCTCACACACAAACACAAAAAGAATGTACAAGGCCTAGGGCCAGATTGGGCCAGGCCGTGTCTGGAACAATCAGGAACCCCCGTTTTCAAACAATGGGGCCTTGGTGGGACTCCCAAACTGTACATCTTAGTGCTCAGATCAACACACAGGAGCATAAATTCCCCTTCCATGAGCCTAAATCACAAATTGAGCATCAACATGTCAGGTTAGGACAAACACAGCTCTGTGGTGGAAAATTGGCCCCCGAAGTATCAACTTCGCATTAGAATGTACCACTGGAGAACTAAGAGGAAAGACACGCCTCATAATCAAGGGATGCAGCAGACTCTACAATACCGCACTCCCCAGGGTCTCACGCTAACAGCTGCTTTTGGGCAGTCTTTTCATTAATTAAATTCTGTTGACAACTCTGGCATTGGCCACTGGATGGCAATAGAAAGACAGCACAACTGGAATGGAGATTTCATTAACAGAATGGTGTTAGTTTAATGTTGTCCTTCTGAGTTAATGTCACACTACGAGTGTCTGGTGAGACAAGAGGCTGCTCTGGAAGCACTTGGGGTTTGGACAGCTTGATTTGCTCTCATTCCTAAGACCATTAGTATTGTCATACTCCTGTTCTCCTTCTGCAGTAATGCCGATGGCACTGATGCTGTGAGGGATTCAGAAAGAGAGAGAGAGATTCTGTTTGGTCTCCGTCAAAGCTGAATGGATCTGCCCCAAGGTTCATAGAATCATAGAATCATAGAATATCAGGGTTGGAAGGGACCCCAGAAGGTCATCTAGTCCAACCCCCTGCTCAAAGCAGGACCAATTCCCAGTTAAATCATCCCAGCCAGGGCTTTGTCAAGCCTGACCTTAAAAACCTCTAAGGAAGGAGATTCTACCACCTCCCTAGGTAACGCATTCCAGTGTTTCACCACCCTCTTAGTGAAAAAGTTTTTCCTAATATCCAATCTAAACCTCCCCCACTGCAACTTGAGACCATTACTCCTCGTTCTGTCATCTGCTACCATTGAGAACAGTCTAGAGCCATCCTCTTTGGAACCCTCTTTTAGGTAGTTGAAAGCAGCTATCAAATCCCCCCTCATTCTTCTCTTCTGCAGGCTAAACAATCCCAGCTCCCTCAGCCTCTCCTCATAACTCATGTGTTCCAGTCCCCTAATCATTTTTGTTGCCCTTCGCTGGACTCTCTCCAATTTATCCACATCCTTCTTGAAGTGTGGGGCCCAAAACTGGACACAGTACTCCAGATGAGGCCTCACCAATGTCGAATAGAGGGGAACGATCACGTCCCTCGATCTGCTCGCTATGCCCCTACTTATACATCCCAAAATGCCATTGGCCTTCTTGGCAACAAGGGCACACTGCTGACTCATATCCAGCTTCTCGTCCACTGTCACCCCTAGGTCCTTTTCCGCAGAACTGCTGCCTAGCCATTCGGTCCCTAGTCTGTAGCTGTGCATTGGGTTCTTCTGTCCTAAGTGCAGGACCCTGCACTTATCCTTATTGAACCTCATCAGATTTCTTTTGGCCCAATCCTCCAATTTGTCTAGGTCTTTC